GATAGTACAAATAAACTTAATACTTTTGTTATTAGTTTAATAAATGATAAAAAATCAATGTTATTATTAATTATAATTATATGAATATATTGAATTAAATTCCGTATTTTTGTAATAATAACAGATAATGCAATTATTTTGTAAAATATATTAACAATGTTGAATTTCAATAAATTTAAAACTTGGTATATCTGCCAAAAATCCATTGTTTTATTAAACTATAATATTCAGTATTTATTAATACATAAAATCTGTATACGATATAAAATTTAACGCTTATATACCTAACTTGTAATTAGATTTAAACTTATATAAAAAATTGTCGTCAACACAATTTAATTAAAATGGATATTATTATCAAATAAATGTTAATGTAATAAATTAATTAAAAATATTGTCGAAACGCCTTAAAGATAAATAATAACGGATACATAATTAAATGAAATACTCATTTATCATAACATTACTTGTTTATTGAATAGTATTTAATTAAATTTAGTGACACGTATTGCTATAAATTATATACACCCGTAAAATAAACAGATAAATTAAAATAATTAATTAAAATATAACGAAAATATATTTTAGAAATTGTTTTTGTCAAATAATTAGATTTTTTAAATAATATATAAAATTAATTAATTGCTTTCAATATCTTTATATAAACACCCATTAAATAAATATTTTTTACTTTCAGTCGTTAAATCATTAAAATATTAATATAACAATAAAAATTTAATGAAATAATTATTACATTTATTGTTATATTTGTCATAACCAAACCTTTTAGATAAATATTATTTAATTAAATTTAATGCAATTGTACTACACATATAAAGTACCACACTTAACGTATATTCTAAATTAATATACAACAGCACCGCCCAAAAAATAAACTATAAATTGAAATATATTTATATACAATCGTGAAATAAACAGTATAATTGAAATAAATCCATTGTGATTAAAAATTTGATTAATTATTTTCTGAAGTATTTATTATTTGAATACAAAAACAATTAAATTGCTTTTCGTTTTACGTAAATAATTAAATTATTATTATGTAAAAAATCGTAATTGTTTTGGTTACAACATTTTATGTTTAACATTGCAATAAGTAATATTGGCTTGAAATAAAATAAAAGTTATAACTCAAAAGTGTGATAAAAATGTGAAATTAGCAATATGTACAGTCTGTTTAATAAAACAAAGTGTAATAACATAACACTCTATATGCAAGCATTTAGCGGTAAATTGTATTGTAGTACAATATTTTCGCAAATAAATGGAGAGGCTGCCTTGAATTATACTAATCATTAAAAATTGACCACGATCGGTATAAGATTTAAATACACAGTTCCGATTAATGAATTGCAATTATCATTAGGGTTACACTTGCGAAAAGTACCCGTATATAGAAATAATTTTCAAAACATAATCATAGGTAATTCATTTCACGATAAACTAGCGTGGTACCACTAACTGTTTTCTCTAAACAATTTATTTGTAACAAATGTTATGCCATACAGTTATCTATTAACACAGTGTGTGACATAACCTCTACTCCTAATGAAAAACACCGGTAATTATTGGTGGATATCGTTGATTGCCGATAGGGTGACCAACAAACTGATCGATAAGAACAATATGTCACAGCAACAGTATTTTAATGATTTATGTAGTAGAAAATGTGGTCAATACATCCCATGTCACGTGGAATACTATAAATTAACTATCAGTGAGAATGGAGTTCTACTATCCCTCCAGTATTGACTAAAATTAGAAAACCAACCAGTTAGTGAGCCAGGCTGTTATTATATGCTCTAACAGGATTTTTACAGGTACCTTCTTATATAAACGGACCAACGATCATATGATTGTCTATGGTTTGGCGTTTCTATGATGATAGTTTTGGATTTTATTTCATATATTTGCGTTAATTGTTTTAAAAAATTTACGAAATTTTGAAATAATTTAATAACATTATTTGTTTGTTAATTGAGTTGGTTGTATTAACTTAACGTATTAGGTGTTTTATATGAATTATATTAATTAGAGTTGCGTGCATAACATAGTGTTTAATTAATTAACTTTGTATTACCTTAAAATTTCTAGCAATATTATAAAATGTAAATTTATTAACAATAAAAAACTATCTTTGTGAAGTAACATTTGTGTAAATTAATTATTTGCATGAACCAAACTAAAAAACAAGCTTAACATAGACTTAATGTTAAACAACTCACACACAGCGATGCTATTCATTAACCACAATTAGGGTAATGCATTGGATTAACACTTTACATAAGATTAGCATTAGTCCTATAGATTTAACATTGCCATAAACTCAGCACTGTCAAAGACTCAGCTTTGCCCATAGAGTTATCATTGTCCATAGATTTATCAATACTACACGATAATCGACAGGGTTAATACTTAATTAATTAATTTAAACAGATACATAGATAAACAGTAAATTTTATATTTAAACAAGTTACACTAGTGTAACTCTTATACAAATATAAACCATAAATTCAACAAACATTATAAATTTGTAATTTAAATATAAATTTAATTATACTTTTAAATAATAATTGATTTGTTAATTATTAATTGAATTAAATGTTCTTGATCAGTGTAAATACAAAGGTATCTATTAAGACTGCAATTTGCTGTCAAATTTAATTATTTAATTGCAACGAAACTGTATTTATTGCGTGAATTCTGTTATTATATAAAAATAATGTATGTGTTTGTTATTAATTTTAGCATTTTGTTCTAATTGTAATGTTTATTATTGTAAATAAATTTGTATTGTAACTTATTACTGTATTGTTAACAATTTAATTGTAGTAAAATTTATTAATTTAATTGCCTTAAAAAAGTATTTATTGTTTGAATTTTGTTATTACGTAAAAACCTTCGGACAAATTGACGCCAAAACCAAAGCCATAATCGGCTGTCAATTACGGCGACAATCAATTGCTGGCCATTAGTGCCAAACCAGAGGCCAAAGAGTAGTGTTGCCAACTCTAAAATTCTCAAAAGTGGACATTTACTCTGAAACTTTTAAAAAATAGTGGACAAATAGTGGACATATTTTTTTACGTGATATTTTAAAGTTATTTTTAATATTCATAACTGATTTACTATTATTTAATAATCTCTATTCAACATAACTAATTTGTCAAGATAATTTAAATGTAGCAACATTCTATACAGAGAAATAAGTATTAAATTTTGAATTTTATCACTCATGTTTATTAAAGTTTTTGCTAAAAATTAATTAATTTTTAAAAAATCTATCAATATTTTTACAATTTTATATTGATTTAGTTAATGTAAAATAGTGGACACTTTTGGAATATAATTACAGATACTATTTATTACTGCAAATTAAACATATCAAATTAAAAACAAAATTTAATTGTCCACTATATTCAAATGAAAGCACATCAAATGTAATACAGTACATGTAACACATGTAATAGCCTTATAATAGTTACTTTTTAGATTATTTGATAAATTCATTAATTCACAATAAAAACTAAATTGTTAAATTTTAATGAATAATTCGCCCTATTTTAAACAAAATTTCAATATTTTGTCGAAAAATTAAATAGTGGACGATTCAATGTCCACTATTTGCTCTTCAATTCTAAGTGGACAGGTTCTCGAAATAGTGGACTGTCCACTTGAATAGTGGACAGTTGGCAACCCTACCAAAGAGTCCGCCGATGTATGACATGTACGCCGGGAATGACATAATGGGCTCATCTTTATAGACATGTATAAAATAGAATATTTTAAACATTAAGTTTACGGAGGCGTCCAGGATAATATAGCTGAAATTAGGCAAATGTCCATGAATCTAGGATTATAAGGCTGATTTTTGCCAAAAATCTAGGATTGTCATAAACTCATCTGGTCAGTCTATCAATAGCATTTAATTAATAAAACAAATAACATTTAAAGGCAAACCACACAAAGATTATTATTAAAGTAGTACTACAAGAGTATACATGTATGTTTATTGATACACAATAAATTGTTAAATATTTGTAATTAATAAATTATATCATAAACTAGGTGCAATCTAACAAAGCAAACTTCACTCATTATCACAAAGAAATATTACAATCTAAATTGATTCATATTTATTTAAACGTTTTATCATTTTTATTTTTAGATAATGTATAATTAATTTATTTACTATTTATATTTTAATCAAGTTATAACCGGTTTATTAGTCATTAGGCACTAACTTTAAAAGTGATATTTTACATCTTTTTGAAGGACAATTGTTGTATTGAAAACAAATGATTAAATGATTTACTAATTAGCATTGCTGTCTGAACCTTGTCTAAATTCCAAATTTTAATATTATTTTCAAAATATTGTTATTTTAACATTTTAAATAACTACGTGTAGGAGTTAATTTCAATTAAATAACAAATCTAATCGTTTAGACCAATAATATAATATAATTAAAATTTAATATAATTAGTCAATGTAGATTGTGATCTCTTTGCAGTTGTGAAACAAGTTTGATTTTTAAAATTGCACCTAGTTTATGATATTATATGCTATCACTGATATAATTTATTAATTACAACATACCATTATTCAATGAGAATAGCGCGAAAATATTATACAAGTCATACGGCATAACATAAGAGTACATAAGGTCTGAAAGTATCATAATTAGCAGTATAATAACCAGAATATTCTACGAGGTATTTTTTAGCTGACAATATATTAGTCAATGTAGATTGTGATCTCTTTGCAGTTGTGAAACAAGTTTGATTTTTAAAATTGCACCTAGTTTATGATATTATATGCTATCACTGATATAATTTATTAATTACAACATACCATTATAATTTAATTGGCCTTAAACAACCTATTAGTTATGTATCGATATACATGTGTATCTTTACATGTTTATTATTTTTTCAATGAGATAAAAGCAAATCCCGAGTTATATTAATAAGATTGTTATGATAAAGTTTATGTTATCCAATTAAATGATTTTTTATTTGCCTAATTAATTTAATAATTTTATATATTTAATTTTTAGACGCATTTTTCGTTTAAGAAAAATGTATATAAACTCGATTAAAAATCAACATTAAGTTATAATAAATTTTGCATAAAAATAGCATTTATTTAAAGTGGAAGTAATACCATTTTTGAAATTTGGTAAAAAACATGTTGCGATCGTATAAGTTAGAATTTAAAACTTTGTTATAAGAATTTTATTATGATTTAAACAATTAGTTCATAGATATTATGGTATTAGCGTCGTTTGATATTAGTAGATGATTGGTAAAATATTTACAGTATTGATTATTTTAATTAATTCAATGGACATTTTGTAAGTCAATTAAATATTATACTGTACAATAAATAAAATTTTAATATATTTAATCTAATAAATTATAATATTGTTAACATTTTAATGAAGAGTATCGGCAAACCTAATACGAGATGTGCCAACCAATCGCAAGATAAGTACGATTACCACTACTTTAAGCGATCGACTGTTGGATTCGGTGAAGGAATCGGTCGACAACTTTATGGCCACAGATTACGTCCAGAATATACTAATGACGGGAGAGATGACTGAATACAACATACAGTACGCGAAAATTCACTGGAAGAGATCCAAAGACATCATTGGAGGCGAGTATTATAACGCTATTTATATAACGCTAAATATACAGTATATAATTATAACGCTATGCATAATAAATTTTATCATGAGTTTATAATTATTAGATATATAATACGCTAACTTTTTAAATCAGTTAGACGACTAGGTAACACGTAATAATTAACATACAGTATAACGTAACAACCTTTAATCAAAAATATGTTAACCCAAAATATAACTAGCAAATTTATTTGATTACACTGTATTACATTATTGCATGAGTGTTTGAAGTAGACAAAAAGGCCTACAGTCTATCGCCCACTGAATATGATAATCAAACTATGGCTGAATTGTGTCGAGTATTGCCTGTAGTAATAGCGCAATATTATGACGGATTTGAGCAACTATTGGGAGGCATTGGCCCAGAGATCACGTCGTTGGCAATGGATGAGTCAATGATCGACTATAACATAATGTTTTACACGGAAATGAAGCATGGTTCATTTGTGCGGCTAATCGCCAGCCAATTGGTTTCCGTTTGGTTTATAGATGAGATGTACGAGTACTTGAAACTTCAGTCCCAATACGCGCCCACCCCGTTGTCCAACTATCTCCTGTATCTGGACTTTGATAATAAGGCGCTATTGACTGTATTGAGGAGTTTAATCGATCCCAAAGCTGGCGATATATCGGCTGAAGAGGAGACACAACTCATTCAATTGGTTAAGGAAGTGAATGACGTGGAGATCAAGTTTTATCTTAATATTTAAGTTTTTCCAATATATTTTGCTTATTCCAGATTGTAATGATTTATTTTTAATTAATTAGTTTAATTAATGACATTTTGTAAGTTAATTAAATATAATATCATAAATAAAATATTAATATATTTACTCAAATAAATTGTAAACATTTTAATGAAGAGTATCGGCAAACTTAATATAAGTGTGCAATGAATGGCCAGATAAGTAGGATTACCACTACTTTAAGCGATCGACTGTTGGATTCGGTGAAGGAATCGGTTGACAACTTTATGGCCACAGATTACGTCCAGAATATACTAATGACGGGAGAGATGACTGAATACAACATACAGTACGCGAAGATTCACTGGAAGAGATCCAAAGACATCATTGGAGGCGAGTATTACAACAACGCTATAAATAATAAATTATTTAACAAGCTGGATTATAAATTAGCTATTATTTAGGTATATGTTACATTACAACACGACAAATTTAATAATTATGTTTAATAATTAATTATTAAGTTTGCCGATACTTTTCATAATAATTATTATTATGTATTATTAGCTTGAATGAAAATTAGATAAAATCACTGTTTTTCAATGTAGATAGAATTGTAAAATTAGTTTTAGTATTTAACGTCACATTCTTAGTATCAGGATTTAAAATATTGTAAATTTTGGATAAGTAATATATTTGGGAGTGTGGCGCAATACTGGTTTTTCATAGTCTGGACTTTGAAATGTGCCTCACATTGCATTCCCGGGACAGAGGATGGGATTTCGATTCCCAGTAATACTACTCCTTGTCTTATCGGAGAATCCGAAGAATTTCCAGTAATTCGCATAAACAATACAACACATGACATACCAATGACACGACACGCAACACAACATCGCTTACATCAACACGAATATAAATATATATGTAATTTGTAATGTAATATGTACTGTATAAACACTAAAAGTATATATGTAATTTGATTGCAATTGTATTGTAATTAAGAGCCTATGTAAAGAACAGCACCAATTGGTGAATACATGACTCTCTAAATAAAATATGATTTATTTATTTATTTATTTATTTATTTACAGCAATGCTTTTAATAAATACAAAATAATTAATATATTTTTATGTGAGGTTAGTGTATATACAGATGATTGTAACGGTAGTTAAATTAAATTTTGACGTATATTAATAGAAAACTATTCGAAAATATGTTATTCTAGAATATAATACACAAATTTATTTGATCATGTTACATTATTACAGGTGTATTTGAAGTGGACAAAAAGGCCTACAGTATATCGCCCACTGAATATGATAATCAAACTATGACTGAATTGTGTCGAGTATTGCCTGTAGTAATAGCGCAATATTATGAAGAATTTGAGCAATTATTGGGAGGCATTGGCCCAGAGATCACGTCTAAGGCAATGGACGAATCAATGATCGACTATAACATAATGATTTACACGGAAATGAAGCATGGTTCATTTGTGCGGCTAATCGCCAGCCAATTGGTTTCCGTTTGGTTTATAGATGAGATGTACGAGTACTTGAAACTTCAGTCCCAATACGCGCCCACCCCGTTGTCCAACTATCTCCTGTATCTGGACTTTGATAATAAGGCGCTATTGACTGTATTGAGGAGTTTAATCGATCCCAAAGCTGGCGATATATCCACTGAAGAGGAGACACAACTCATTCAATTGGTTAAAGAAGTAAATGACGTGGAGATTAAGTTTTATCTTAATATTTAAATTTTAGGCATCATGTTTTGCTATTAAAAATTGTAATGATTTATCTTTAATTAAAATAAAGTATTTAACCAAGATCATTTAAAAATATTTTATTTATTTATTAATTTATTTATTTAAGTTGAATGCATTTTACAAAATTATAATTTGCAATGAAATAGTAAAATGAGATAATTTTGTATCAATTATTTTGTTGATTTTTGTATAAATATAATGTTTAACATTATTTATTATCAATTAAATTGGAATTGAAATAGTATTTATAATTTAAACTCTATTTAAATTCTATCAATACTATTACGTGAAAACCTAATCACAGAATTGCACCATAAGATTAAGGAAGGCCTGTCGCAAGTGATACGTGTAGACCACCGGAGCGACGCCATCGAGTTTGACTACACGTGCGGACCCATTCCGATGGCCGACGGTAACGGCAAAGAGCTGGTGTTTTGGTGGCAGACAAACCTGACTACTGGTGGCGTGTTTTACACCGATAGTAATGGACGACAAACGATGCGTCGCCGCCGCGACTATCGGCCCACATATAACCTGACGGTTACTCAGCGGTGTTGAGCACCTACTACCCGGTGACTAATTGGATAGCCATAAGGGACGAGGCGGCCGGCTTGCAATTGCATATACGGCATTGTATAACCCGCTGCCCCGTAATATACATTTGCTAACACTAGAGCGATGGGCGAATCGGACCCTATTGTTACGGTTGGAGCACTTTTACCAGTGGAATGAGTCGCGCGAGTGGTCAACACCCGTGAGGGTTGAGCTCCGGGATGTGTTCCGCGAGTTTGTGGTGTACGACGTGAAGGAGACCACTTTGAGCGCCGCCGAGAATATACTGGCCGTACGGCGGCTCCGATTCTCAGAAACTAATACCAATAAACGATTTGAGCCCAAACGCCATGAGCTAAACACTACGGATCTGTCGGTCATTATTAACCCGATGGAAATTCGCACGTTTATTATTAAAACTAAGCCTAGATAGCGTATCCTTGATGAGGGTTAAATGAAAAATTACCAGGGAGTGCCATGAGTAGTCAGTAATAGGCCTCAGACGCCATTTCCGTCCTCAGGACGGTTTCCCGAGGCCGTCGGGCGCCCGTATTACATGTTAGAGCATATATACAATACATATAATGCTATACAATGTATATACAATACAGCGCTGTATATATTGCGTCGTATATTACATAATTAGGTCACTCACTACCAGTGCTTTCGCTATACTGTTATATACTGTATATGCTGTGCAATACAATACATACGCATTAACTGAATGAACGGATTGTTCGAGAAAATTCCAGCACTTTTTGCGTACAGTATATACAGTACAGTATTAAATGCTAGTATTTTCTCGAATATTCTTTACTCAATATATTGCGACGTATATTCACTTTTAGTGCAAAAAGTAGTTTTTATTAATTAATGTTTTTCAATGACGGTATGTGCAGAGGGGGTGTATATGGGCTCATACATTGATTTAACACTAGACCCACCTCACCCACTCTCAATAGGGGGGGTTTGGGTGGCAAAAAAACCAAATTCTATACTATATGTTATAATGAGGGCATAGTTGGGCGCTTACAGTTTATATAGTACTAACCCCCCTCTAGGCCTCCTAAGAGGGTGTTTAGGTGGAAAAATCATAAAAAAGTCACTATACGTTATTCGAAGCACCCACTAATGTACTTCACGTTAGTATATTACGACGCCTCCTGGAGGCCTCCTAAAGGGGGTTAAGGTGTAAAAATCATAAAAAAGTCACTATACGGTATTCAAAGCATACACTAATGTACTTTAAGTTAGTATATCACGACGCCTCCTCTACGCCTCCTAAAAGGTGTTTAGGTAGCAAAAACCTAACACTACGGTATTGAAGGCATATATTGATGTACTTTATATTTGTGTATACGTGACGGTCGGCCACGCCTCCTAAAGGGGTATAGGTAGCTAAATACTATACGAGCAGTGTATTGTACCCACAAACGCCTCCCAAATAAGTCTAAATAATAACCATTGCATATTAAGCTCCCTGTGTCTACCCCTTGATCATACCAATGATGCTATTCACTGCGCATGACAGGTTTCCTAGGCAACTACTGGCAAAACCAGTATTATATGCATACGCACAGACCATATGACCCGCATTTACAGTTAAGCTCTTGCCAAGTGAACTACATAGTGTTCAACACAGCACACCAGCAAAACCTATGTAAGTACGCATTATTTACTCGAAATATTCTAAGTCCTGACAATTCATTTGCATTGTTTGGACTTAGAGTATTTCACTCAACACTTAATGTTAAAATACATAGACTTTTTCAATGTATTTTAACATTAAGTGTTGAGTGAAATACTCTAAGTCCAAACAATGCAAATGAATTGTTTGGACTTAGAATATTTCACTTAACAATTAATGTTAAAATACATAGACTTTTTCAATGTATTTTAACATTAAGTGCTGAGTGAAATACTCCAAGTCCAAACAATGCAAATGAATTGTTTAGACTTAGAATATTTCACTCAATACTTAATGCTAAAATACATTGAAAAAGTCTATGCATTTTTACATTAAGTTTTAAGTTAAAAAGTCTAAGTCCAAACAATTCAAATGAATTGTTTGGACTTAGAAAATATTGCATAAATATAACATAATTATAATATTTATATAATCTTATAACTAGATATCAATCATGCCGTCACAAAGTAAGCTTCGAGCCGTCGACGAGTATCTCTTTGAGTCGCAAAGAGATAGTAGTTATTGTACGACAGGCTTTCTCCACAAGTTAGAGCAACAACTGACGAGAAAAGCCAAACAAATGGGTATTTATACATTTTAAACATACATATTATAAGTAGTTAATTAAAATTAATGTTTTATCAATAGCTATTTATCGTAATAACGAAGACTTGATTACAATGGATGTAATCAAACGCTTAAAAAAACTGAGTGCTCTTCTGGACAGAACAGCCGATAGTGAAGTAGAGTTGTTGACGCATAAGAAAGGACGCAAACACTCTACAAAAAAAATAACATCTCGTGCGTCCGTCATCGACGATGACTCTAGCGATGACGACACATCATCGCCGCCAACATCAGGCGATGATGTCTGTGACGGTGAGTCTATTGACTCGCGAGACTCGCCGCCGGATGATGACATGTCCGAACCGTTGCCGATCGTTGATACCGTAAGCGACGACATCTGCGGCGAGAAAAAAAAGAAGAAAAAGAAGAGTAAAAAAGATGGTAAAAATAAGGTTAAAAAAGATAAGCTTAAATCGAAGAAGAAGAAGCAAAAGAAAGCTAAGAAAAATCGAGACGAAGAGCCGCCGATGACCTCAACTTTGGCAGAACTGTTTGGCGATTGCGAAAGCATTTCTTCCGATGAAGAGCTGCCGAGAGTCTTCTCACCTGAGCCACCTGTTGAAGATATGCCGATTGTAGGCGTCATTGAGGCTCAACTGCCGGAGAATGTTGAACAACAGCCACCGGAGATTGTTGACGAAGAGTCACCCGACAATGTTGACCAACAGCTGCCGGATGAGAACAACACACATGCAGAGTTGTTTGTCGATGAAGGACTAGTGTCATCAACCGATGAGCCGATGACTGAGAACGAAGCCGCGGTTAACTCCATACCTGGTCATTCGTTCTCTCGAGATGCATACGACCCGGTCGAACACGCGGCGCCTGTTGGCCCTTTGAGTTGCGATGCGGCGCAAGCCGTTAGAAACAACTCAAAGACTAAGGTCTGCACTGGGCCCATAAACTTTTTGAAAAGAAAGGTAAGTTATTCATTAATTATATGATATGTTAAAACATTGTTTATTAATTACTCTATTGGTTAATCATAGGCTCCTCCCACTGAAGAGACACCCGCCAAACAATTTCGCGGAGATGATATGAAAGCTTGTATGGGCGGCGTTGAAGCGTTACTTAAACTTATCTATGATACTTATGGCAAATAACTAATACATATTTTACATTACATTTATATTATATATCATTGTATAATCATTGGTTATGGGGTTCTATAATAAAGTATGTTTATTTAATATTGTGTTACATTATTTATTAATATGTATAAAATAGATGTCGCTTTAAGACATGCGCGTTATATATTAAAACTTGTATATAAATTTTGAACATTGTGTTGAATAAACTCATAATGGCTTTAGATTCAATACAGTGTGGTCTTTGCCTATTGCCTGTTTTACAATCTGATGCGATTAACCATATATCAGATTGTGTAATTGATGGCAATTGTGAAAAACTAAAGCGAACAGAAATATATAAAAAGTATAACCTTTTTTGTCAAGTCGTGAATTTGTTTTATGACGGCGCAGTAGTTTGTGTAAATTGTGATACTCCAAGTTTGAAAGACTTTGTGCTTTCAATTTATGAGTACTTTTATTATAAGACTGAATTAGCTCGCAAAAAGTTTTCACTCATAACTCCTGATTTGAACAAAAACTTTGACGCACTCAGCAAAGCAGCACTTTTGGCGATTGAGAAGCCCGAAGACCACTTCATTAATATCCCCAAACGGTTCACCGAAGACGACCTAAAGCGACACATACACATCCGTAACATTGATTTTCTGTTTGACTTAGAGATTCAGTGCCTGCTAGACTTGAACACAAGTAAAGAACGAAAGCGAGAAGGATGGGAGTTTTAACGCATTGGACTCCGGACCAACACGCGCAGTATGCGGACAGATCATACTATCAAAGATGTGTTTTTTGCCGCAAAAACTATCACTTAACACAGCTCGCAAAACATATGATACATTGCGAAAAGCGTAAAAGTGCTAGAAGTTTAAGTTTCAAACAAAAATATTATGAAGTAATATTGCATTTGTTTAAATACGAATGCCAGCCCTGTTATCTGACATGGGAGCCCAGTCCGAGTTATCTGACTCGCGACGAGCGGAAGCGAATGTCTCGAATAATCCGCAGTTATTGGCAACTCAAAGGTATTTCGTTCACCGGCCGTCTTTGGCATCGCACACTTGACGTATTCAAAGCGTTCAAGTATATCAAATGTAACCGATGGCTACCGCCCGAGACGTTTATGCGCCGCTTTCCGTCGTATGTCCAATACCTATTCATGGAACTACACGTTGATATATACCGCACAGAAGTTAAGACAATCGGCAATCAAGAGATAGTTGATAAGCTTCGCATTAAATGTAGTGAAGTAAGAGATGAAATCCCAGAATTTGGCCATTGGCAATTCACAGCGAGAGAAGACCGAAGATATATTGGTCAACAGCCCGACTGGGGACAAGACTTTGCGTTGGCACCGAATGAAGATGGGCTTATGCTTAATGAATAGACTTTATATATATATTATCTATTATTATATAACATATATACTTTTTAATACTTATATTATATACTTATATATTATGTAGTTATTTTATATATTTTATACATATATTAATATTACATATTATATGCTATACACATGCTTTTGTATTTTGATTATCAATAAAAATATATATTATTGCAATTATTGTCAGATTACTTAATATTATTGCGCAAAATCAAAAATAACTCCTCCTCAATCTTAGACTATTAGATATGATAGTATATATAAGTAATAGTTTTCGATTGAGAGCATTAGTATTCAAATAATGGCAGACGAGGTAGCATTCTGTTGGCTTTGCGCAACCAATGTACCCGTGCACAAGATCACAGAACATGTCATTAGTTGTGTAATTAACGCATCTAAAATTGATGGTATTGTTGGCAAAAACAAGAATTATGATAAGTATCATATATTATGTTTTATTCTAAATTATTTACCAAAGTTTGACCGCAGAATCAATGTTCGAAGCGAAAGTAACTATAAGTTTATTTTTGAAATATATAAACACTTTTTCAATATAAACATTAAGAAGCCTTACGTATCTCCATTGATTGGTGTTAACACTATATGCCGTATAATTCTTTCTCAACTTGATTACCCACAGAATAAGTATTTGAATATAGTACCGGGGATAGAGTATAACGACTTTGCACACAGTATGCTTGCTTTATGCCTTAACAATATATTTACAACGCCCCAAATCTATGACCTTAAACATAATGACCTGGATTATTAAACTCCGCCTTTTTAAAAGTAGTATATATAGAGAAGAGTTTGTACTGTTTTGCCATTCACTATTTAATCATGGATTGGAAAACATTGTACACAATACCATTGAGTTCCAAATGTATTAACGATAAACTATGCGAAAAAAAAGCTAACATTATACAAGGTGTTTTCTATAATCTTAAAGATAACATCAGGACCGCTTATCGTATAAACAGATTGGAGATACGCGTTATTCTAGGCGGTAACGCGTCCATCGGCATAAGCTTTACACACTCCGAGTTTCAATGGCTTCTCCAGTTTTTAAAGAGCGGTCTCGATAAGAGTATATTTAGCGGAAAAAAGGTACTGACAGGTATGTTGATTGACGATTGGTATTCAATCGTTTCGATTGAAAATGAAAAGAGTTACGGCGTTGTGCTGACCGACGAGGATATTGAGTGTTTGACAAAGAGCGAAATCATGCTGGACTTTTTACTTAAACATCAAAACTTAAAAGGCGCCTCACTTCAGGAGATGGTACAAGACTTGTATGTGTCGGTCGTGGGAGGCGAAGTGCAGGACAAGCTTAAGGCGCTTTGTCTTCCATGCAATAATAAAGGCGCTGTAAAATGTATTTGCACAGATTACTTCAAGAACTTCGAAAAGAAATACGAGTTGTTGGCGGAAGTATTGGCATTCACATCGCTTGATTTGGAATTCAAACGCCGGTTCACTAAACTGATGGATCTGATGAACGTTAACGAAGCGGACCGTATATTGCAAATTCAAGTGGTTGTCCCCGAATTGAAGAAACAACCAATTATGCTGATCAACAAACTTTGCGTTTATTTGGACATAAAGGAAGGGATGGCAAATACTTTGGACAAGTTGTTCACTTATTTGAACGACCCAACTGGGATGGACATTCAATCGTTCATTGCTCCTTAATTGGCTCCGCCTATTATTTTATTACCTATTTAATCCCAATTTATTTTTTATTACTCTTATTATTGTATAATCATTTAATAGTATAACATGGATCCATTTATACATAGCGATATTGTAAGCGAAACTCAGACTTATAGTCGAAAGTTTAACGCTAATAGTAAAAGTATTACTGTTCATTTATATTATGATACAGATAGAGAAAATGTAGACTTATTAACCATTATTGATGAAATAAAAACTATTTTAACCAATGTCTTGGACTCAATTTTGGGCGAATTCAAAGATACTGATATGGTGCGAATTTCTGTGCGAAATATGGAATTGGAGCGCGAAATATTTATACCATTTCGTGAAAAACAGCACTTCAATGTTGACTTACTTATGAATGAAATAATCAAAGTAAGTCAGAGTAAGCGTGAGTTTCTTTTAAATGGTTTGCTTGAAGTGAATGTATTTGCCGTTGAGCGGCCATTGATTGGAGGTAAGCGACATGCGGACGTTTCGTATTTAAGTTTGGATTCTTGGCGTCGAAATTCAAACAAAGTCATACCAGTGGCGAGTGATGGGATATGTTTTGCGCGAGCGATAATATTGTCCAAGTATTACGCGGACGGTGCACGGAACAAACAATGGAGACGAATGCGCGATAATACTGGAAATCTTCAAACACTTAAAGCACTTGATTTATGCCAAAGTGCCGGTCTAAATGTAAGCAATATTGGCTTTTCATACGACTGTTTTGAAAAATTTCAAACTGCGTTAGGCCCGAGTTACCAACTGATTGTAGTATCACCACCGAAACAATTCTTATTTACCGGTCCGTATGCCGATAAGCAAGTCTATGTGCTCATTAGTAATGGACATGCCGATTGTCTGCTATCAATAAAAGCCTTTTTAAAATGTAATTATTTTTGCAAAATATGTCTTAAAGGGTATATGAGTCTCTTAGCGCATAGGTGCGAGAATATTTGCAAATATTGTTTTACAGAAACACTGTGTGTGGAGACCAAACGAATAGATTGTGAGACTTGCAACAGGTTTTTTCTTTCAGAGCAATGCTATGAAAATCATAAGAAGAAAAACTTGTGCAAACACTATAGATATTGCAAAGATTGTAAAAAATTAATCAAAGGAAAGCTTCACGTTTGTGGCCAAATAAAGTGTCGAAATTGTAAAAATTATGTCCCGCAATCTTATCACGAATGCTATGTCACCCCAAATAATAAAGATGAAATAGAATCAGACGATACCAAATTGAAAGTGTTTGTGTTTTATGATTTTGAATGTCATTTAGTTAACACAGAGAACGGTGATAGGATCCACAAACCAAACTTATGCTGCATAGAAGTCGTTTGCGATTACTGTTGGGATCAAAAACTAAAAGATAAAGTAATAAAATATTGTCCATTTTGTTGCGGAGAATCGCGTGAATTTGTTGGTCTGCAATGCGTTGAGCTATTTCACCGGTACCTCTTTACAGAATTAGGGTCTAAATTGAGAGAGCTTAAAAAAGCAACCAAAATGAAAGAAGATATCAAAGTCAAAGTGATTGCCCATAATAGTAAATCATATGATTCGCAATTTATTATTAAATATTTCCTCGATAATAATGTTAAACCAAACGTCATCAAAAAGGGAAATAAGATACTTAGCCTGAGGTATAAGAATTTCAATTTTATTGACTCGTTATCATTTATTCCTATGCCTTTAAAGAATTTGCCGAAAACATTTGGCATCACAAATTGCGAAAAGGGAGACTTCCCGCATTTGTACAATACGCCAGACAATTGGTATAAAGTTTTAGATACGCTGCCTCACATTAATTATTACCAAATTAATTTAAAAAAACCTGTCGAGCGTTTAAAGTTTATCAATTGGTATAGATTGAATAAGAATAATAAATTTGATTTTCAATCAGAGCTAATCAGGTATTGTAAGAACGATGTGACAGTACTAATGAAATCAGTCATGACATTTCGGGATATGTGGACTAATTGTTTCGGTATAGATTGCTTTACCCGGTGCATAACATTACCGCAAAGTGTTATGGAAGTTTTTCGCACAAATTATTTAAAACCCAATCAAATTGCTATTGTGCCTAATAATGGGTATGAACATACGAGAAATCAATCGTATATTGCGAATGCATGGTTAGATTTTATTCAGCGTGATAGGTCACACGAAATCATTCGTGAATATAGAGTCTATTCGTATGTTGCGGACGGATTCATACCCCAATCGGGCGAGGTATTTGAATTTTACGGCTGCCTATTCCATGGATGCCCTCAGTGTTTCAAAAGCAATAGACATACAATGGTTAATCCGATATCAGGTAAAACAATGGACGAATTATATGCAAAAACAATTCAAAGAGAAACATTTTTGAAATCCAAATTCAAATACATCTCCATATGGGAATGCCAGTTAAAAAATTTACGAAGAACATCGCTTGAGATTGACTCGTTTTTTGTTAATCATTTACGCAACTACAGACAACACAAATACAATCCGACACTTCAACCGCGCGAGGCGTTTTACGGCGGCCGGGTCAACGCGAGTAAGTTGTATCATAATGTGGATGGCGGCGAGAAAATATATTATTACGACTTTACAAGCTTGTACCCGTTTGTGTGCAAGACATCAAAATTCCCGCTCGGTCACCCAGTCAGAATTCATTCACCGGACACTACATGCATCGTCACGTACGAGGGATTGGTGTATTGTGTTGTATTGCCGCCGCGTGATCTATACTACCCAATCCTTCCCATGCGGATAAATAATAAACTAATGTTTACGCTATGCTATATGTGCGCCGTTGATAATCGGTACTCATGCTATCACGATAACGATGACCGGTGCCTCAATGGCGTGTGGACAACACCAGAACTTAAGGTAGCATTAAAGTATGGCTATAAAATTATCAAAATATTTGAAGTATGGCATTTTGAACGGACATCGCAGTTATCCGATACAGAAGAAGGATTATTTTCACAATTCATTAACGACTGCATCCGAGGAAAAATTGAAGGAAGCGGTTGGCCCCAGAATGTACTAACGAGCGAAGATAAAGATAAGTACGTTAATCAATATTACGAAAAAGAACGTATTCAACTCGATCCGTTGAAAATTGAAAACAATCCCGGAAAGCGGAATACATTTAAGCTGGCAGTCAACAGTTTTTGGGGTAAATTTGGCCAAAACTCTATGGCAATGCCTAAAGTTGAATTTATATCACATCCCGATACGTTTTTCGCGCTCTTAAGTGACGACTCAATAACGGTTGAAGACGCGTACTTAATAAGTGACGAAATACTTCAAGTAAAATATAATAAGAAAAATGAATTCCATACAGAATCAAATAGTTCTAACGTTATAATAGCGTCATACGTTACGAGCTATGCGCGATTACATTTATTTGAGGTGATCAACAAATTGGGGAAACGGTGTCTATATTACGATACAGATTCAGTTATATTTGTGGCGACACCTGACGACTGCAATCTCCCTACAACAGGTCAATACCTTGGTGAGCTCACAAACGAATTAAGTACAGAGAGCGACCCTAGCGCTTATATTACAAAGTTCTTGTCGTGCGGGCCTAAAAATTATAGTTATGAAGTATTCTATCCCGATTCAAACCGATATGATTATGTAATAAAAGTCAAAGGGCTGACACTTAATTTTGAAACAAATTTGAAAATTAATTTCGAAACTATGAAGGACGTAATTGATAGATACATTATGGACATTAAATCCATAATTAACGTTCCTCAAATGAAATTTGTTATTAATGACTATAACATTATAAAGACAAACTACATTGACAAACAATTTCAATTGGTCTATGATAAGCGCATGCTCAATGGGGACTATACTACACATCCATTTGGGTATAAATATTAATATTCATATAGTCAAACAAACAGTTCGAGATGGGAAACTATTACTTGCGCCACGAGTTATTTCGACATATAGCACTGCGAAAACATTCAATGATTAATTTGGCTTGTAGAAAAAAGCATGAAATAGCTGCTCTCGGCTTCTATGCAGACGATAACATAAAATCGTTTGTATGTTTCTCGTGCATGCTAATTGTACGCTTCAAAGACTGGAAAGACATTCATGAATATCACCGAAAGACATCCCCGTATTGTGCATTTTTACAAGGAAGAGATGTAAGCATTGGCGACGATAAACCACGCACAGAATTCTCGCCTAAATGTCAAGGGTTTACCAACTTTTCAAACATCGAAACCTTCAATAGACGACTATCAGATGAAAACAGAAACAAAGTGTTGAAACACTATTCACTAAAGACACCGTATCTCAACGCCGCGACTACACTGAAAAGCTACGTGTTAACATCAATATTCTCGCCAGTGTATATTCCGAAGATTTTGCGATCGGACCGAGTATTTAATATTGAAGTATTTTTTCTATACTTGAAATCCGAAGAAAACCGATTCCAGACATTTAACGTACACACATATTTATTTCCATATCCTGAGATCAGTGATATATTGGCGAGAAATGGATTTTTTTATACGCTGTACAATTCGGCAATTCAATGCGCTTTTTGCCGAGTTGTAATCAGTAATATCACACATCTCACAATAGAAGAAGACGTCTTATCAATGCATGCAATCTTTTCAAGAGATTGCCAACTTCTCACCGGGAAAGATGTAGGGAACATTCCTTTTACAAACAGACTTTGCGCCACTCCAACTGATAATGAATCACATCAATGCAAAGTATGTCTCGTTAACCAAATTGACGTTATCTACAAATGCGGCCATTTTATTGTGTGCTCGAGTTGTGCAGCACGAATGGGGGCGTGCCCGACCTGCCGCGCACCACTCAGTGACAGGCGCCGCCTTTACATAGCTTAAACTATTATATATAAGCAACTGTTTAGTACTCTAATAGTTTAGTATTGTTTTCAAAATGCCTAACGAAATAAGTGATGTATTTACAGTTGATTATGAGCTGAAAAACAAATTCAAAATCTACCGCTCATCGAAACCAATATACAATAGTTTTACGGCGCGTTCAATGAGACTCAAAAGTTTTGTTGGTGAAATATGGAAACACATACCGATTCATACGGAAGAGTTGGCCAAAGCGGGCTTTTTCTCTATACAAAGTGGCGATCGAGTCGCCTGTTTTCATTGCGGGTTTGGTCTTTGCAATTGGGAAATAGACGACGACCCGTGGATAGAACATAAGAAATGGAGCAAAAATTGTGTATACGTACAACTCAATTCAGACACCGTTCGCCGGCAAGAATCTAAATTTCAGTTTTTAATGAAACATTTTATTCAACACGGCTTTCAAACTGATATTGTTAAGCAAATCACCGATAGCTACTCCGCCGCTAGAATACGCGATGCACTCATGAACAAGTTTACTAAAGATGGGCGTGACTTCACATCAGTTGACGATATTAAGGCCCAATTGGATAAAGCAAACGAAAAGCCTGTTTGTAATCGATTCGATAAAGGAAGAGAGTGTATAATATGCCTTGCAGAAGAGATATCAGTCTCATTTTTGCCTTGCGGTCATACAATAAGCTGTTCATTTTGCGGCCCATGTTTTACATATTGTCCATTCTGTCGAGATCAAGTGAAAGGTTGTGTTAGAGTACATTTTGTGTAATAATAATAATGAAAGCGGTTAGTTTCCTGTTTTGCATTTGGGTATCACAATTAATGTGTAAACCCCAAACCAACATTCCAGCAAAAACGCCAACAACCTCAACACCAACACCTCAAAACAATACCCAAATTACTATCGACGAATATGATGACGACTACCCCTTCAAACAGTACACATTTCAATTGGGTAATATTAAAAATCCCAAAAAATACATGCCTACTGTTACATTATATAAATATAATGTGTCGAGAGAACTAGTAGTTGAAATTTGTATGGAAAAAAAAGTAGACGCAGAAGCGTATGGTGACTTTGTTTTAGTCAAAACCAAAAATAAGTTATCGCTTACTTCAAATGAATTTTCAACTATGTATTCACTATTCGCTCACGACTACTATACGGACAAAGCATTCACAATGTCTACAGAGGAGTATAACATCTCACTCAGCAAATTCTCGCAACCGTTTCATGCCGTGATTACTAAAACATCGTTTGATCCGCCGAGAGTTAATAAAGTTCGCGGAATTATAATGGATTGGGAGGAATACATGGATTTGATTTCAAAGTCGCCCGAATTAATGGAAAAGGGAAATTTTTAATCTATATATTAATTTTATATATACAAAATATATTATTATTATATAATCATTTATGTTTCAATTATTATTTTGTATTTAATATTTTAATATATAAACAATATTTAATAAACTTATGTATTCATTAGCAAATGTGTGTTCATTTATTTCATAATGTGTATTGAAGAGTTTAAATTCAAGCACCCGTTTACTTGTATAATATCCGGAATGACAAGTAGCGGGAAAACTGTACTTATCAAACGAGTTCTTAGTAATTGGACAAATTTGATCGCTATCAAAAAACAAACATTAAATGTTTTGTGGTGCTATTCCGAATATGAAAGTTTATTCACTGATAAATTTAATAGGGTTTCAATTGTATTCAATAAAGGTGTGCCATCACTTGACGATATTAAAACGCACAAACCAGATTTAATAGTTTTGGACGATTTGATGGATAACGTATCGGATGCAGTCAGAGACTTGTTTACTAAACGGTCGCATCATATGGGGATTAGTATAATGTTTGTTGTACAAAACTTGCATAATGATAACAAACACATGCGCACTATGAAAAAGAATGTCCATTACATTGTTATGATGAAAGGAATCAGTAATGGCGGACAATTACGACATTTGACTTTACCAATTCCCACAAAGCAAGCATTAGCTATATTTAAACACGCAACTCAAAGACCATTTGGGTATTTAATCATTGATCAGTATCCCACGACACCAGAAGAGTACATGTTCAAGACCAGAATATTTCGCGAAGAATTAAGTGGTGAGTTAGCAAAAAAGCATAGCTTTTGTCCCATATACTATAAATATTAATAAAAATGAGGTCAAAAATTATATCGAATAGCCTTAAACGATCGTTGCCATTCTTGCGTTATGCAACGAAAAAGCCTAAAGGTTCGCGCACGCGTATTCTTAAAGATTTGGGTGAAGAGAAGACGGTATATAATGCACTGCAAGAACTCGCACACAACACACTTTCAGGAGTGATTCCACTGAACACAAGACAGAAACGACTCTTAAAGCCACATCGGAAAACATTGGAAAATCTTTGCGACTGCAAAAACCGTAAAAATTTAAAAAAACGCAAACAACTAATATCACAAAGTGGTGGTTTTTTGCCTATTGTTTTAAGCGCATTAGCTGGTGTGTTACCTACACTATTATCTAAAGCATTGTAAGTATGTCTGACCCAACACCGATGGCTGTGTACCCATACGATATGGAAGAGAATTTGCCGCCGCCGCCGCCGCCGCCCCCGCCCCCACAGTCTATTGTCAACGATATACCGGTTGGACGGCCGGCGAGAAGGAAACGCGCTAACCCAATGGATCGACAAACACGTATAATAAAGATTGTATTAAAACTTGCACAAATTAACGGTTTCAATGATGAACTGAATGTTTTACGCGAAGACGGTACGTATAACGAGAATAGTAATTTGGCTAAACTTTTGACAATCACACAAACGAACGTACGCAATGTTCAGGGAATGCCTGAACTTATACGGCTCTTGCATTTAGCTAGAATCGACCCTGACTTTATAGTTAACGAGATGGTTAAGGCTCGACTACTGGAACTAATGAACGGAGGTCAACCACCAGCTCTACCGCCGCCGGATCACCAATACTTTCCTCAGCCACCGCCACCATCACCACCATCTCCACCACTACCTCCGCCTCCCCCGCCACTGTCTCCTTCTTCTATGGACCAGATTCCAGCACCCGAATACGAACCGCACTCCACAATGCCGTCTAATATTGCTGACATTCCACTCCCTCCATCCCCTTTGCCACCGCATCCGCCGACTAAACGCAAATCGACAGAAGTCCGGACCGACGCAGACGCTATACCGTCAAAGAAAATATCCATCCCGGACCCTTGGAACATACCGTTCAACGATTCGGACGACGACACTGATTTTTGACTTGTCGACACATGGATGCTATGGACAATTTATTGTCTGATTTATATTATAACCCTAAACACCCCGCGTCTCTAAGCGGGGCTCATAAACTATATTCTTATGCTAAATTATATAACCATAATATAACTAAAAAATATGTAAACATTTGGTTATCTAAACAAAATGTTTATACTTTACATAAACCTATTATAAGAAATTATTTACGAAATAAAATATACGTTTCATATATGAACGAACAATGGGAGTGTGACTTAATTGATTTGCGGCAATACAGCAGACAGAATAATGGCCACAATTATATGCTTACAATCATAGATTGTTTTTCCAAGTTCGCTCGTGTACGGCCGCTGAAAAGCAAAAAAGGGATTGAGATTCTGAATGAATTTAAACGCATTTTCAAGACAATAAAGCCAACAAAAATCCGATCGGACAAAGGTGGCGAGTTTGATAATAGGTATTTTGTTAATTTTTGCCAAAATAATCAGATCACATATTTTACAACTCAAAACAAAGACATTAAGTGTGCTATTGTTGAGCGTTTCAATCGTACACTGAAGTCAAAATTGTTCCGATACTTTACACATCGAGGCACGCGAAAATATGTTGACGTTCTGGACGATATTGTAGACTCGTACAATAATTCAATACACCGGAGTATTGGTATGTCACCAAATGATGTTACCATTGAAAATGAACATGTGGTATTTGAAAATCTATACAATAGGCCAAACTTGAGACACATTGTCAGAAAACCTTTGAACAAGAAATTAAAAACTGGCGATACCGTGCGCCGACAATACGACTTGAGCGCGTTTGATAAATCGTACTACCCGTTATGGACAGACATGGTGTTTAAAATTGATAAAGTGTTCGACAAACTAACACGACTTCAGTATTCAATTGAAATCGATGGTGAGAAGATCAAGAGAAGATTTTATCCCGAAGAATTACAAAAAGTAATCGTTGACAACAATACCTTATATTTAGTAGAAAGAATATTGGAGAATAGGACACGAAACGGTCAAAAGCAAGTTCTTGTGAAATGGAAGGGTTACCCAGCAAGTTTCAACCAATGGATACCGTTGGACCACGTGAGAAATCTATAAATAATTGGATAACTAACGACTGCGCGTTTACGTCATCAAGTTTTATTTTATTTCTGTTTCAAATGATTATAATTATAATTGTTGTAAGCACGAGTATATACAATATAGCTAAACAAAATGGCGATACAAATTTATGGACTGGGCTTCTGTCGTGGTCAATTGGCTATGTGCTACCCAACCCTACACTTAAGCCAGTGGTTAATAGTGATCCGAAGAAATAAATTATATTTGTATTTAATACCGTGTCTAATTATACTTATTTATTTAATTCTATTTCAAGTTAGAATGGAAACGGAAAATTTTTATATTCATTTAACTAATAATATCATACCGACAAGTCCGGATGAGACGGGAAATAAAATCGGTAATTTTGTCACTCATCTCAACAGAACTATTGTTTTATCAGAAGATTGGGAAGTGGGACTTACAGATACATCGTATACAAAAAGCTGGTATAACGTAATGGAAAACCAGCAAATCTCGTTAGTCGAAGAATATGAAGACACTCCCACACTTATCCCACTTGATACAGAGTTTTTAGCCGGTTATTATGCGTCTGTCAACGATATCATTACAACAATTAATGAGCTAATGCATGATTTTGTTTTATT